AAGAAAATTCTTTAAAGAGGGTATTGAAGTACCTCTTTACGAATCAATCGTTTTGCAAAATTAATACAGGCTATAAAAAATGTATTTATCATCTCTGCATTATCAACGGTAACCGCTCAAAAAAAGGAGCCATAGTCGGTCCTACTATCAGAGTTAGATAAGTGAAGTAGAAACTAAACAACATTCTGCAGATTAACATATGCCAGTTAGAAACTGAAAATTAAAAGACTATATTCAGAATAGAAAGAAGCCCGATTGTTACCCTATTGAAAGATTTCAAATATATGTATTAATACTTATAGCTTGTTTCAACGGGATTGATCAGGATGCCGCATCGCAGTGCACCACGCGCCACATATCCTAGTCACGAGCGGCCTTTCAGTGCCGCGCGTGCGCCTGCGAAGCCGCATAGAGCAAACCCAGATGAAACGGGCTATGCGACAATCGTCATGAACTGTCATAAAATAGCTTCAAAACCAAATGCTAGTAGTGCATACGTACAATCGAAAGTAGCTGTTTTTGGCAAAAAAGAAACTCAAGAGAGTGGATCTGATAAACAGAATAATGAACAAGAAAACAACTGAAAGACTCCTGGTCAGCGGAATCTTCTCGCAACTCTTACTCCACCACGATATAAGAGAAACCCAATAGCTCCCCAGAAAGCTGCTCGGAAGGCAAATTTTACGACCTAGGAAAAAGTTATGAGAATATTGCCAAAAGTTTAAAGTGCCAACCTTTGCTGAGGTAGACGGCGGAGGAATATAGAGAAGAGGAGCAATATCGACTGGATTGTTCCAATGAGCAGCAATTCCGGGAGTATGACCTATGCCGACAACAGCAACAACCTAAACAAGAAAATGTAATATGACTTCAAACGCTTTTTGAAAATTCTTTTAGAGATCAGCTATAAATCGGTCTCGTTATAGAGAGGTGTTACGGGGATTTGCTCTGAAAACGATGTGAGCGAAATGCGGAAGAAAAGGTTTAAGCCAAGTATGCTGATTCGAATACCTAAAGAAAACCTTGGAATCCTGCTCTTCTATCTCAAGATTAGATCACATAATACGAAATAAAAAATATTATCTTATTTCCTTTCAGAAAAGAGAAGCGAAAAAAGATGACAAGCAATGAAGAAACATAACTCGAAAGTTTAAAAAAGGATCTGTACCTAGGAAATAACGACCTTTGAATCACTTGATATACAAAGTTTAGAAAGAAAAACTTACTCTGAGAGGTTGCCAATCCACATCGGTGCGTTCCCATGATAACCGTTTCTCAAGCGTATTCTTGATTAACAATGAATGGAGGGCATGAGTCATGTAAGCGTCCCGTTCGTCAACGAAAATCTGTTCAAAAACTAGTCTAAGAAAATAAAAAACTCTAATTAATAAAATAGCTTACCTTGCTAAGTTTAGGGAAGTCACCTGCCATCTCGGCAAGTAATTGTTCCAATAAATCTCGCTGTTTGCATTTTTCGACCTCAACCTCATGATAAATCATTGAAAAGCAATTGAAAAGAAAG